CCCCAAACCCCAAAACTGACCCGGGCCAGGTCTGGTTGGGCTCGAAGAGGATCAGCAGGGTGGGCTCGTAGTAGCCATGCAGGAACTGCATGTCGATGATGTTGAGCAGCTTCTCGTCCAGCTCCCGCACGTCGATGATGTAGCTGGGCAGGAAACTCGACTTCTGCCTGCGGGGACAGGGGGGGTTCAGGGGGGCCGCCCCGGTTTTGGGGGGCTCGGGGGGGTCCGGGGGGGCCGTCTCACCCCTCTCCCACCAGCCCCTCGTGCTCGTCGGCCAGCGAGTCGCGGCGGAAGGGCAGCACCACCAGGCGCGTGCCGTAGATCAGCATCACCGCGCAGCGCCCGTCGGGGTCCACGCGCACGCGGGGCGTGTGCACGTTCTGCACGAAGCCGTCCTGGAAAAATGGGAATTTCGGGGTTTGGGGCGGCTCTGGAACCCCCAAATCCATCCCATAGCCCCGTGTGCACGTTCTGCACGAAGCCGTCCTGGAAAATGGGAATTTGGGGGTTTGGGGTGGCTCTGGAACCCCAAAATCCATCCCAAAGCTCTCTGTGCACAAAGCCGTCCCTAAAAATGGGAATTCGGGGGGGTTGGGGTGGTTCTGGAACCCCAAAATCCATCCCATAGCCCCGTGTGCATGTTCTGCACGAAGCCGTCCTGGAAAAATGGGAATTTGTGGGTTTGGGGTGGCTCTGGAACCCCAAAATCCATCCCATAGCCCCGTGTGCACGTTCTGCACGAAGCCGTCCTGGAAAATGGGAATTCAGGGGGTTTGGGATCTGGAAAAAGCCCAGAATCCATCCCACAGCCCCGTGTGCATGTTCTGCACGAAGCCGTCCTTAAAAATGGGAATTTGGGGGTTTGGGGTGGTTCTGGAACCCCAAAATCCATCCCAAAGCTCTCTGTGCACACAGCCGTCCTTAAAAATGGGAATTCAGGGAGTTTGGGGTGGTTCTGGAACCCCAAAATCCATCCCAGAGTGACCCCACACCCGCACGCGGGGCGTGTGCACGTTCTGCACGAAGCCGTCCTGGAAAAATGGGAATTCAGGGGGTTTGGGGTGGCTCTGGAACCCCCAAATCCATCCCATAGCCCCGTGTGCACATTCTGCACGAAGCCGTCCTGGAAAAATGGGAATTTGGGGGGTTTGGGGCGACTCTGGAACCCCAAAATCCATCCCAAAGCTCTCTGTGCACAAAGCCGTCCTTAAAAATGGGAATTCAGGGGGTTTGGGGTGGCTCTGGAACCCCCAAATCCATCCCATAGCCCCGTGTGCACGTTCTGCACGAAGCCGTCCTGGAAAATGGGAATTTGTGGGTTTGGGGTGGCTCTGGAACCCCCAAATCCATCCCATAGCCCCGTGTGCACGTTCTGCACGAAGCCGTCCTGGAAAATGGGAATTCAGGGGGTTTGGGGCGACTCTGGAACCCCAAAATCCATCCCAGAGTGACCCCACACCCGCACGTGGGGCATGTGTACGTTCTGCACGAAGCCATCCTGGAAAAATGGGAATTTGGGGGGTTTGGGGTGGCTCTGGAACCCCAAAATCCATCCCACAGCCCCATGTGCCCGTTCTGCACGAAGCCGTCCTGGAAAAATGGGAATTTGGGGGGTTTGGGGCGGCTCTGGAACCCCAAAATCAATCCCAAAGCTCTCTGTGCACAAAGCCATCCTTAAAAATGGGAATTCAGGGGGTTTGGGGCGGCTCTGGAACCCCCAAATCCATCCCATAGCCCCGTGTGCACGTTCTGCACGAAGCCATCCTGGAAAAAAATGGGAATTCAGGGGGTTTGGGGTGGCTCTGGAACCCCAAAATCCATCCCAGAGTGACCCCACACCCGCACGCGGGGCGTGTGCACGTTCTGCACGAAGCCGTCCTGGAAAATGGGAATTCAGGGGGTTTGGGGTGGCTCTGGAACCCCCAAATCCATCCCACAGCCCCATGTGCACGTTCTGCACGAAGCCGTCCTGGAAAAAATGGGAATTTGGGGGGTTTGGGGCGGCTCTGGAACCCCAAAATCCATCCCAAAGCTCTCTGTGCACAAAGCCGTCCTTAAAAATGGGAATTCAGGGGGTTTGGGGTGGCTCTGGAACCCCAAAATCCATCCCAGAGTGACCCCACACCCACACGTGGGGCATGTGCACGTTCTGCACGAAGCCATCCTGGAAAATGGGAATTTGGGGGGTTTGGGGTGGCTCTGGAACCCCAAAATCCATCCCAAAGCTCTCTGTGCACGAAGCCGTCCTGGAAAATGGGAATTTGGGGGGTTTGGGATCTGGAAAAAGCCCAGAATCCATCCCACAGCCCCGTGTGCACGTTCTGCACGAAGCCGTCCTGGAAAAATGGGAATTCAGGGGGTTTGGGGTGGCTCTGGAACCCCTAAATCCATCCCAAAGCTCTCTGTGCACAAAGCCATCCTTAAAAATGGGAATTTGGGGGGTTTGGGGTGGCTCTGGAACCCCAAAATCCATCCCAGAGTGACCCCACACCCGCACGTGGGGCATGTGCACGTTCTGCACGAAGCCATCCTGGAAAATGGGAATTTGGGGGTTTGGGGTGGTTCTGGAACCCCAAAATCCATCCCAAAGCTCTCTGTGCACAAAGCCGTCCTTAAAAATGGGAATTTGGGGGGTTTGGGGTGGCTCTGGAACCCCAAAATCCATCCCATAGCTCCGTGTGCACGTTCTGCACGAAGCCGTCCTGGAAAAAATGGGAATTTGGGGGGTTTGGGGTGGCTCTGGAACCCCAAAATCCATCCCAGAGTGACCCCACACCCGCACGTGGGGCATGTGCATGTTCTGCACGAAGCCATCCTGGAAAAATGGGAATTTGGGGGTTTGGGGTGGCTCTGGAACCCCCAAATCCATCCCATAGCCCCATGTGCATGTTCTGCACTAAGCCATCCTGGAAAAAATGGGAATTTGGGACATGGAGAAACCCCAAAATCCATCCCACAGCTCTGTGTGCACTAAGCTGTCTGGGAAAATGGGAATTTGAGTTGATTGGGGTGGCTCTGGAACCCCAAAATCTGGGGGGATGAGGGAATTTGGGTGGAGGAGGGAATTTGGGGGGATGAGGGACTTTGGGGTGTGGGATTTGGGGGTCTGAGGGGATTTGGGGGGATGAGGAATTTGGGGGGATGAGGGGATTTAGGGGATGAGGGAATTTGGGGGTTGGGATTTGGGGGGATGAGGGAATTTGGGGGGATGAGGAATTTTGGGGGATGAGGAATTTGGGGTTCAGCCCCACCCGCAGCTCCGGCTCCTCGAAGTAGTGCAGGGACAGAGTCTTGAGGTCGTGGGTGCCGGGGTCGTACTCCACCACCGAGAGCTGAGGGAACAGCACCCCAAAATCGGGTCAGGGCACCCCAAAATCATCCACAGCACCCCAGAATCATCTGCAGCACCTTAAAATTATCAACAGCACCCCAAAA